TGTGGAACAGATTGGCACACGGGGCTTTGAGCGGAACTCCTGGACTCTCCGGGGCTGCAGCATGGATGCATCTGAAGCCTTGGGAAGGCAAAGGCAGTGTGGCAATTAAGCCACTGAAGCCTCAGGGAGGCGCCAAAATAGCAGCGACACCAAGAATCACCTCTCAAAGGCATAATAGAGTGCTCTGTGGCCAGCCCTCACTAAACCTTCTACACACATCAATGCTTTTAAATCCATACTCGTCCACTTCAGTCACCTGCCAAAGTCAAAGGGTTCTCAGGGTGCACAACACTGCCCAAAGGGCCAAGCAGATGGTATAGCAAGGACTGTGGCCTTTGCTCCCAGCTCTCCTGGGATGCACTATGTCCTGCAGCTTTTGTCATGGGCCTTTCTGAGGCTCAGTGTCCTCATCAGCAATAGGGGTTGGTATCCTCCTGTCTTGTAGGGTGCAGGAGGGACTGGAAATACTGTCCAGCAGGCAGAAGTTGCTCCCCAGAAATGGACAGCTTCACAGTGACTGACCTGGAAATGGATGGCCCATCCCTCATGATGCAGTCAGCCCAGTGCTGGGCATGTTTTAGGTCGACTATTAGCTTCCCACATGAGCCTGTGGGAGGATATGTGTTTGCCTGCAGAAATGCAGGCTGCCAGGGCTGGCTAAGCAGGACTCTTGAGTAAGATCCATGTGGCTAGTACACAGACGATGTTAAGTTCACCTTATGTAAATTGGCAATAGGACATCTGGCGGGGTGCCTTAATCAGCTGGCACAGAAAAATCCACACACAGTCTGGGAACAAGTCCACTTGCTGGACCCACACTTGCCAACCCAAAACTAGAACCTTCTTTTCTCTCCTTTCGTGAATGCTGTTCATTAGGTATAACAAGCACCTGACCTCACTGGGCATGTGGACATTCAGGAGGCGAAAGACAGTGCATGCATAATGCAGACCGCAGGGCTGGCACGGGGACAAGAGGGTTTGATCTGAGCTCTTCCCGGGACAGGATGCTCAGCTGCCCCCAGGGTCCCACCCATAGAACTTGTCTCTAATGATTCAAAATGCCACCTCTTAGTCTCCTCTGCCAGGAGCTGAGAGGTGGGAGAGGCAAAGATGAAGCGCCAGTCCCTGCCCCCAGGGACCTTTGTAATAAAAACACCACTCCCTCCTGCCAGGCATGATTATCTCTGCAATCCAGCCAGCTTTCCATGTTCCCTTATCTCACGTCCTCCTGGCGAGTGAGAACAGGAACAGAGGATGAATCCGGCTATAGTAGCCTCAGGCTGCAGGATGTGGAAGTCCAAATGCTCAGCACCTAGAGGTTTACCTGCCTTCCAATCCCATTGTGTGAGAGTCCTCATCGACTCTATTGCCCTTCAAATATGTGCACTGAGTCCAGGAATTATGGAATCAGAGCCAGAAAGGGCCAATAGATCAGGGCTATTGGCACAGAGAGGGCTGGTGGGGGCAGCTAAAGGAGAAGGAAGTTTATAGTACTAAGTGCTTCCATTAGAAGAGAAGACAGGTATCAGATCAACCATCTAAGCTTTGACTTAATAAACTTGAAAATGGAAGGATAAGTCAGTGTAATTGTATGTAACATAACTCAATGTAAGTGAAAAGAAAAACAGAGGAGATCAATTGAAACCAAAGTTGATTCTTTGAGAAGATGAATAAAATTGATAAACTTCCAGCCAGACTGACCAGGGGGAAAAAAAAAGAAGAAGAAATAATTTACCAGTATCAAGAACAAAAGATGGGCTATTACCAACTATTTTTCACAATTTAAAGGATAATGAGGGACCTCCACAAACAGCATTATGCCTATATATTCAAAACCTTGTATGAAATGGACCAACTCCTCAGTAGGCACTTCATTAAAGAAGAAACACATGACCAGAAAGTCCTATATCTATTAAAGAAAACTCCAGTTTCCCAGGAAATTCTCCCAAATATTTAAAGGAGACCAAATACTGACTCTACACAATCTTTTCTAGAAAGTAGAAGAGAAGGAAACGCTTGCCAACTCCTTTTGTGGGGGTGGCATTATCAAAACTGAAGACATTGCAATAAAAGAAGACTACAGACCAATATCCTCACAAAAACAGACATGAAGATCCTGAATAAAATATCAGCAAATCAAATCTAACAACATATAAAAAGGACAATACATCACAACCAAGTGGGGTTTATCTGGGAATTCAGGACTGGTTCAACATTTAAAAATCAATTAATGTAAGTACACAGCACCTCTTCATACTGGCTTTGCAATTTCCTGGACACCTCTAATTATTTCAAAATAAAAGGCTTTAAGAAATCAATTAATAAAATTCACTATATTAACCGACTAAAAAAGAAAATTGTATAATCATCTCAATAAATGCATAAAAAGCATTCCATAAAATCCAACATCCATTCATGATAAAAATCTCTCAGTAATAAGAGGGAGGTTTTTAGCCTGAGAAAGCTTATCTAGACAAAACCTCAGCGAGCACAAGGACTGAATGCCTCCCCTTGAGGTCAGGCCGGTAGCACACACACAAGCATTTCCTTGCTCTGCCCACTAAAGAAGTGACACCCCAGCAGCACTGAGCACACCTATCTCCAGATCATGGTTTCTAAATACCATTATCCACTAAAAGGATCAGGACTCTCTGGAGAAGTGATCGATTCCAGGAATGGGATGGGGAGATTTCCAGAGGAGCTGGAACCAGAAGTGAGATGCTGGGGAGTTGGAAGCATGCTGAAAGGTACAGGAGCCAAATGAAGGAGGTCCCAAGGTTCAAAGCTGGAACAATGTGAACGAGAAAATAATGATAATACTGGATTATTACTCAAATAATAAAACAAATATTCATTAGTCCATAATGAAATAAGTTGAACCAGAACAGGTAAATAAATGGAGGAAAAGGGGTAACTCCTCCTTACAGAAGAATTTCAGTTAATAAGTAGAGATGGAATGGGGAAGTAGAAACTCACCATCAGAACACCACAGCAACCTTGCTGCAGGCATGGCCCCCAGAGGGACGTTAAAACCACTGGACAAACATGACAGCAGAAACAGGATATTTGCAAAGTCTCATAGACTCTCCCCCACCCCAGATATTTATTAATTACAAAGGGAAAAATAACCGTGTATCTTGTGACAAGACACAGCAACATCATGTACCCCTGCTTCACTGGAAACATTACTTCAATGGGATTCTTCCCCAAACATAATAACCTCAGGCTAATTGTGAGGAAACCTCAGACAACCCCGAATTTCTACAACACAAGTGACCAGGGCTCTTCAAGTGTCAAGACACAAAGGATAAGGGAGGACCAAGAAACTGTCTCAGACTAGAGAAGACTAGGGAGACCTTACAAATGTACATAGGGTCCTGGAGCAGAGAGGTGACATTCGTGGGCAATGGGTCTGTTCTTTAGTGAACAGTAATGCACCAATCCTGATTTCTAAGATTTGTCACTGATCTGTGGATACGTAAGATGTTACTAGAGAAAGCTGGGTGAGGGCATGTGTAAACACTGTACTCTTTTTACAGTTATTCTGTAAACGACACAAAAGCACAAAGTGGTCCATGAGCTAAGCCATGCCTGGACAAGCAGAAGATGTGCAGATGCAGCTGGCCCATCATGCCATGTGCCACCTGCGCCCCATCCTTCACCGGCTGTGGACTGCAGTCCCCAGGAAAGGAGACCTGCAGCACCTTTCCTTCCATCCCAGATTCTGGCCTTGTGTCTGTTTCAGAGCAGGTGCTTGCTAAGAGTCGAATTGTGTCCCATGAGGATGCTGAAACCCTAACCCCCAGTACCTGCAGAAGTGACCTTATTTGGAAAGATGGTCGTCACAGATGATCAAGATACAATGAGGTCATTGGGGGGGAGGGGTCCTAACCCAATACAACTGGCGTCCTTGTAAAATGAGAAAATGTGGATGCAGACAGGCACACAGGGAGGATGCCATGTGAGGATGCAGGCAGAGATGGGGAGATGCTTGTACAAGCCCAGGAACCCCAAGATTGCCAGCAAACCCCCAAAGCTAAGAGAGCACGGAACAGATTCTCCGTCATGGCTCCAGGAGGAACCAACCTTCCAACCCTTGATCTTGGACATCGAGCCTCCAAACTGGGAGAGAACGAATCTCTGTTGTTGAAGCCGCCCAGTCTCTGGGGCTTTGTTACCGAAGCCACAGGACACTGACACAGCACTGCACACAAATCATGACTCATCATCGTTATGCAGAAACCAAATAAACCTCCAAGCACAGAGGCGCTTGGTGGTGCTCGGCCAGCAGAGCACTCCACAGCAGCTCTCGCCCAGACCGGGCCTGGGACCCAGCCCCCAACACCCAGGTATTCCACCGTGGCCCCCAACGACCTGCTAAAAGAAGAAACCTGCACTCCACCCCCCAAGCTTGCTTTCTAGGACTAAAAACAAGTAGAGACTTCCAGGTCCATTTCCAGAGTTTTGTGAACTGAACAAGGAGTTCTGGAAGTAAAAGGGCTGTGGCTGGTTCTGCAGAACCCAGCTCTAGGCACCAAGGCGGGAATGCATGGGGAGACTACTGCTAGGATAGCACAAGCCAGGAGGGTATGAAGAAAAAGTCAGGGCACCTGGCACACACTCACACATACACACACGCGCACACGCACACACACACTCACACACACACTCACACACGCTCACCCTCACACCCTCCTCCAGCCCCACTGCCCCCACCATGGCCACGTCCACCCTGTCCGTCTGCTCCAGCGACCTGAGCTACGGCAGCTGCGTCTGCCTGCCCGGGTCCTGGGACTCCTGCCCCGACTCCTCCTGGCAGGTGGACGACTGCCCAGAGAGCTGCTGCGAGCCCCCCCACTGCGCTCCCAGCTGTTGCCCGTCCAGCGGCTGCACCCCCAGCGGCTGCGTCCTGGCCTCCTGCCTGACCCTCATCTGCACCCCGTGAGCTGCAGGTCCAGCCCCTGCCAGTCAACCTGCACCAGCTCCTGCCAGCCCTCCTGCTACAGCTCCTCCCCCTGCCAGGAAGCCTGCGGCGCGTCCGTCTGCCGCACCCCTGTCTGCTGCAAGCCCGTCTGCTGCACCCCTGTCTGCTGCGAGACCTTCCCCTGCTCAGCCCCCTCCTGCAGCCAGCCCAGCCCCTGCTCCTTGTCCTGCTGCAGATCCTCCTCCTGCATGTCCCTCCTCTGCCACTCCATGTGCCTGGCCTGCTGCAGCCCCACCTTAGCCCAGAAGTCCTGCTGCAGATGGGGCACGATCCCCCCATGGCCGGCTGGGCTCAGGTCCTACCTGGTGACTGTGGTCCTCCCAGCCACCCCTCCTCAATCTGGTCTTGACCCGTGTTAAGGGGTTTCCCCCACTGAGGACAGGAGCAGGTCCCACCTGGAAGCTGACCACCATGTCCTGAATTGCTCCAGCACATGGACCATTCCTAGTGTCTGCTGGTCCAGTCTTCTGCTGAGCTGCACTTGTAGACAAACCACACATCCACACAGTGTGTGACCTTGCAGAGGTCTCCTAGGAAGTCCCCATGGCAGTGGTCTCCCCTCTGTATCTCCCACCCCTCATGAGGGTCAGCCCAGCCTCCATCCACATGTCTTTGTCCCCTCAGCTCAGTAACCCTCAGCTATCTCTAGATGCACTTAAGCAAACTGGCCAATAAACACCCAAGACCGACCAGAGCCCTGGCTCCCTGTGTCTTGTCATTATTCCCCAGCCTGACCACACGTCCACTTTCCTCCTCTGTACACAATGCTGCCACCCTGCAGGACCCTGTGTGGTTTCCTGTGATTCCCCAAGGTACCAGCTGGGCAGCAGAGGGTGGGAGTGGGTATTGCAGCCCTTTGGCCACTTGGGGCCATCCTGGGCTCATCCTTCACCCTCTTGTACTGTCATCCATGGGATAGTTCTTTTCCTCGATTTGCCTGCCACTCCTTATGATGCCTGTTCAATCAGGATTAGGATCTGCTAGATCCATATTTTTCCAGAGTATGTCTAAATGCCCTTCTAACTTCAAAATTAGCAATTTTCATCTCTGTATTGCCTAAAATCTTCTCAATGCCCCACTCTCACATCCCCAGTGAGGTGTCAGGAGCATGTGCTAAGGGGTGCAATCTGTTACAAAGTACAGATCCCAGAAGTCACATATTAATACTCATGCTAAACCTGCCTGAGAGTAAGGGCTTCTCTCAATCTGCCATAACAAAACATAAAAACAAGCACAGAAGCATCACAGTTATCAAGCCAATCCATAGGTGGTAAGTGCCAGACAGAACAAAGCCCAGCACTCTTTAAAGGAAGGAAACAAAGTACAATATTCAACAGTATTACACTATTATTTTATTGAAACCCAGCATCCAATAAAAAATTACTAGACACATTTTTTAATGATTTTATTTATTTATTTGAGAGAGAGAGCATGTGCACACATGCGTGCACACAAATGGGGGCAGGGCAGAGGGGGAGGGAGAGGGAGAGAGAGAATCTCGAGCAGACTCTGCACTAAGTGTGAAGCCCAACAGAGGGCTCCATCCCACGACCCTGAGATCAGGACCTGAGCCAAAAGCAAGAGTTGGATGCTCAACTAACTGAGCCACCCAGATGCCCCAAAATTACTAGATACATTAAGAGGAAAAAAAAACCTAGCCCATAATCAAGAGGCAAAACAGATTATACAAACAAACTCAGAAATGACAGTTGCTGGAATTAGCAGACAAGATAGTTAAAACAACGATGATAAATATGTTCAAGGATTTCAAGGAAGACATGAACACAAAGAAGAGAGAAATGTAAGATACAAAGGAGAACTAAATAGAACTGCAAGAGGTAAAAAACATAACATTAACAATAAAAAATTTAAAGGATGAATTTAAAAGTAGAATAAAGACTGCAGATGACCTAGGAGACATAATCATAGAAATTACCCAAACTGAAAGACAGTAAGAAAAATAATTTAAATTAACAGAGCATCAGTGATCTGAGCAACAATATTAAATGGTCTAACATAAATATAATTGGAGTCCCTGAGGAAAAAGGTCAGGGGTGAGGGGAGACAGAAAAATATTTAAAGAGACAATGGCCAAATGTTTTCCAAATTTGATGAAATTGAGAAGTATATAGAAAACTTGAGAAACACTATAAACTAACCTGACCTTATTGATATGTATACAATATTGCATCCTACAACAGTGAACTCGAATTCATGTTTTTTTTTCAAATGTACATAGAACATTCACCAAAAAAAAATCATATGCTGGGCCATAAAACCAGTCTTAATATATTTAATAGTCTTAATATATTTAATAGGACAAATAACTGGAATCAAACAGAGGATGTTGTTTGACCACAACAAAATCAGAAGTCATGAACAGAAAGATATCTGGAAAACCAAAAAATATTTGGATATTAAATAACACACTTCAAAATAATCCATGAGTCAAAGAAGGAATCACAATGGAAAACTGGAAGTATTTTTAATAAAATAAAAATAAACTTTATAGAATGCAACTAACACAGCATATAGGGGGAAATGTATAGCTTTAATAATTTACATTAGAAAAGAAGGAATCCATCAATTATCTATGTTTCTACCTTTAGAAGCTACAAAAAATAAGCACAAGTTGAATCCAAAATAGGTAGAGGGAAGGAAATAATCGAGAAGTGTAGAAATCTACCAAATAGAAAATGGACAAACAAGAGAAAATTAATAAAACCAAGGCTAATTTTTAAAGATCACCAAAATTAATAAATTTCTACCTTGACCAGTCAAGAAAAAGAAAAGAAAAGGAAATAAATAAACAATATCAGGAATAAAGAAAGGGCTATAGCCCCAGATTCTACAGACATTAAAAGAACAATAAAAGAAGAAGGCAACTCTTGATGCTGACACATTCAACAACTTAAGTGAATGACACATTCAACAACTTAGGTGAAATGGACAAATAACTGGAAAGATATACATATAAAAACTCATACAAGAAGGAATAGAAAACCAAAATTGCCCTCTATCAATTGAAGTAACTGAATTATAGTTAAGATCCTTCCCACAGAGAAAATGCCATGTCCAATCCTAAGGAATATATAAAAATGCTATTAAAATTCCTAAGTGCAGTTAGCAAGGTCACAGGATACAAGGTCAACACACAAAAACTGATTAAATTTCTACATGGTAGCAATGAGTACTTGGAAATGAAATAAACACACCATTAACTAAAACACTGAAAAATAAAACAATAGAGAAACTTAATATATGTACAATGTTGATGTACTAAAAATGATAAAGTATTGCATTAAAAAAGTTACCCTAAATGACTAGAAATAGATACTATGTTTATGAATTGAAAGATTCCATATTGTTAAAATGTCGATTCTTTCCAAATTTACCTACAGGTTTAACGCAATTCCAATAAAAATCCCAGCAAGTTATTCTTTAGAAAGGGATGAGCTGATTCTAAAATATATTCTAAAATCAATAGAAATGTAAAGGATCTAGAATAGCTAACCAATTTTGAAAAAGAAAAACGTAATTGGATGATTAACTGCTGGATTTCAAGACTTCATTTAAAGCTGCGTTGATGGAGACAGGGTGTTATGGGTATAAGAACAAAGGCTGAAGACGGGACAGAGCAGGGTCCAGAAATAGACCCACACATATACGGTCAATAGATTTTTTGGCAAGGGTCGGTCAATGGAGAAAGGATAGTCTTCTCAACAAATGATGCTGGAAACAACCAACAACATATTCAAAAATTAACTTGAAAGGGATTATAGAACTTAGTATGACAGTTAAAACCATAGAATATTTAGAAGTACACATAGGACAAAACCAGCAGACCCTGGGTTTGGGCAAAAATTCCTTAGCACTACTGAAGAGAGGGAATGTTTTGATTTTAATCAAAATTAAGGATGTCAGCTACTGAAAAGTACTGTCAAGAAAGTGAGAAGTCGGGGCACCTGGGTGGCTCAGTCGTTAAGCGTCTGCCTTCGGCTCAGGTCATGATCACGGGGTCCTGGGATCGAGCCCCATATCGGGCTCCCTGCTCGGCGGGGAGTCTGCTTCTCCCTCTCTCACTCCCCCTGCTTGTATTCCTGCTCCCTCTGTGTCTCTGTCAAATAAATAAATAAAATCTTAAAAAAAAAAAGAAAGTAAGAAGTCTAGGCAGAGGTGGGGGAATTTGCAATGTACACATATGATAAATGACTGGTACCTGCAATACGTGAAGAACACTTACAGTGAATAAGAACACAGTCTGATTGCAGAACAATGGGCAGAGGATCTGAGCAGACGCTTCGCTGAGGAAGACAGACAACCATGAACAGGCACACAGGAAACTGATCCACCCACACACAGTAGCCGTCAGGAAGGGCAAATATCACGCTGCTCACCCCACGTAGCACAGGACCCAGCAAGCCTACGCCTAGGTATTTACCAGAGAGAGGACAAGATGCAGAATACAGGTGCTTACAGGGGCTTCCTTCATAACCATTAAAACCTGGAGACACCCCAGATGGACTTCAACAGGTGAATAAATAGCTGCGATCCATCCACTCAATAAAACACTACTTGGCAGTTAAAAGGAATTAACTATGAACGTATGCAACCAAAGAGGCAAGTGAAGGAAGCCGGACACTGAGCATGCCTGTTGTATGCTTCCTTCCCTCGGATGCTCCAGAAAAGATCAACTTCAGCAGCTCCGCAGAGCAGCTGCTCCCAGGCGGCAGGCGGGCGTGGAGGCTCGGGATGCAGAGAAACCTTGGTAGGAGGGAAGCTGATATCTCTTGCCCCCAGTGGAGGCTGCAAGACGCAGACCTTTCTCAAAACTCATCAAACGGTACAATGAAATAGGGTGCGTCTGATTATATGTACACTACCTGGACAGAGCTGATTTTAAATGGAAGGATTAGGTAAAACACTGGTCGGGGGAAAAGGGTGTGGGCAAGGAACTTGCAGCAGGTGGGGAGTGTGGCATGGGGCGGGAGGTGGCTGGGGTTTCAGGAAAGGAGACCGAGAGCCAGGGGACCGCACGGGCTCCCTTCGTGGGTTCTAGCGTGGACACAGCTGTGGGGAGAGTGAGGGGCTCACAGGCCCAGAGGGGAGGACTCGGGAGGGGAGGGCTGACCTCAGTCTGGCCCTTCCTGGGGCAGGGCCACCGGGCCACTGCAGGCAACAGTTCTGGAGCCCTGGCACGGGGTTCTTGCTGGATGTCCCCCCCTTGTCCACAAGCGTCCTCACACGATGCCACTGGCATCCCGACACCGGAGCAGGCCACTGTCCACAGCAATGGAGGCCGGACGGGGTTCTCAGTTCACAGGGAAGGCCCCACACCAGGACTCCGAGTCCCTCATGCTCCCAGGCGGAGTCCAGACCTACCAGATGATGGCCCTGAGTCCAGCCCAGGGCGGGATCCTGGGGTCCTGCCACCCACCCTTCATATTTTGTTTCAAACCTAGTTGTGTTCTTCAGGAGCTTGGAGCAGTGCCTCCCCAACGACACCACCTTTCCGAGAAATGGGTAGAGCCCCCGGGAGGACCCCAGGGGGACGCCAGGCCCATAGGGGCTGTGCTGCCTGCAGCCCCCAGGCCCGCTTGTCTGGGCCGGTTTGCCCAGCTGGGGCAGTGGGTGGAAACGGGCCAGGGGCTGAGAACCCCCAGACCACGACCCGTGTGCAGGTGCCGAGCCTCGGGAAGCCCTGGGCACTCAGGGCCCAGCAGCACTGACCGTCCTGGGCGAGGGCGTGACTCCCACCCCGGGGCCCTGCCCAGAGGAGTCCGGCCCCTGCCCTGCGCGATTTCTCAGTCCCGCATTCCTACAAATGTTCGCGGCGGGAGGAGACCAGTGTCTGGTCAAAAGCCTGGGATCCCCCCGCCCCCATGAGGGTCCGATGAAAGGAAGCAGATCCGTTGGCGAAGTGAGTTTATTGGGGAGCCCGAGGAGGTGCTGACAGGTCGGCAGTTGAGGCCAAGGGACCCGAGCAGAGAAACTGGGAGGGAAGGACAGGGGACCAGAACGGGTGTAGGCACCTCCCGGGGGGAGGCGGGGGCAGCATGCCTGGGAGCTAGGAGGTCAAGGTCAGGTCAGGAGAGTGGACGCATGGGGGACCC